ATCTGCCACAAAAAATATGCTTTTTCCAGGGAACCTTTTCCCCGGCGGTGTGTTACACTGACTCGCAGCTCCAGGATCTCTGAGCCTGTTTGCGAGACTGCGTGACATAGACAGAAGGAAAGGTATTTTACGTTCCAAGTCTCTATTTCCCATTGAGTGTTTTTTTTAATCCCATCATTCTGGCACAAGTTATCGATGAAAACAATTTGCTAGTTTCTGAAAGTTAGCTCCTAAGTATGGCTGGCAGAGAACTGCTCCCTGGATTTAATTCTCGCAAAATATCTGCTCTTTCAGACAATGTCGCAGTGTGCATTCCTCGTGCAGAATATAACACGTTACCACCTCTCAATTTCTCTCTGTCTCTCTTTGCAACCCGCTAATGGCTAGATAAACACATGTGTTTGCATTCCTAGGAAGCCCAACAAACAGAAATCTCAGATCAGTGACACAGGAGGATTATTTCCCACTATCTCCGTTTAATCCCATTTTAATTAGGTTTCTTTCAATGATTAATTTTATACTCGAACACTCTGCTGGTACGTTTGTACTGCAAACTATTGAAGCCTCAACTGCAAGAAGGTTCAAATGCAGTTTGCTGTAATGTATTCCTTCGAATTACAGTGGGTAACTGAATTGAAAAATGCAGCTTTCATAAACACATTTGATGTGACAAATGTGAAACATCGCATTTTGCAATCCAGCAAATAATTTGAAAGCTGAGCCACTTATTTGATTGGCAAGATGCAGTAATCTTTCGTTTCTCCTCTATAATTTGCCCGACTGTTTTAGTTCAATTTGCAAACTTCATAACTGACCGGGCGATGAGGTGCACACAGTTGAAATCATTTCAAAGCAGGTCCATTTGGTAAATTTATTGCAGCAATTCACATTGGAGCCAGTGAGCTTTTCATAGACCAGCGTAAGGCAACTTAGAAGCTATAATTGACTAGCAGAGTGCAGGCACTGTTGTCCTCGATGGAATTAATGCCGTATTTCAATGTTACCTCTGTGCTCATTGAACTCCTACTATGCAAAATCTGTCTCGGAATAGGCACTGCACTGCAGATTTTCGGAGTGCTTAAATGGAAAATTATGATAAACTGTCAGGTATCTCTAAACATGTGGACGTACTCTCATGCGTTAAGCAAGCTCGAGGATTTCACAGTGAATGACAAGTCGAGCATTTTGGTTGGTTCATACATTACACAGCTGAACATTTCAGTAGATAAGACTGTAATAAATGGTAACCTGTCTCCATTTTAGAGGAAAATATCAGGCTACATGCAGTAGAAAGCTGTGTATTTTGTTGTGATCTCAGTGAACGTCTGTGCTGCAGTATACTGTGTAAAAAAAGAGGTTTTGCCTGACTTCCCTCAAGGGCAGATGCTCAGTAAATGAGCTGGTGTCCGAGACTGATGGTTAATGATGACCATCCATGTTCCTATGTGTTCCTGTGAAGTAGTTAGGAAACAAATCATCTCAGGGCTCAAGTCAGTTCAAAAGGGATATGAGCGAAACGATTTCTTCCTTTTAAGGAGGGGGAAGTCGTACCATCACAATCAAAAATACATCAGCAGATCATTTGGTTTTGCTGATGGCTCCATGATACAGTGACCTAGATCATGGCATGGTCACGCCATTGAATATTCACATCCGTTTGTGATCTAAGGCCAGCAAAGATCCCCATACGATACTTGCTATGTACTGTATACATTTGCCAAACACTATTACATCTCCCCCTGCCCCCCCTCCCCCCCAGCCCCCTATAAACATTTACTGTGTGGATTCCTGTTGTTAACCTATTTGTGGGACGCTGTGCAATTGGCTGAGGTGCTTTGCCCATAAAATACGCAGTCAATTCGCTTCACAGTAAGTGCGTGAAGTGCTTTTTAACGTCGTCCGAAAGATGTGGTAAGGCACGACATCAAATGCAAGGATTATTATTATTATTATTTTTGTCCCTTATTGCCCTTGTGCCTTTTCCAGTTGGTGTGTCTCCTGTCAAATCTGTGTGCAAAAGCAGCAGAGATAAAATCACACGGCCATGAGAAGTGGCTACTTCGGTGATTGTTGTCACTCCTACATGAACACTGCAATTTTGTTGTTGATGTTCTCAGAACCTAACCGTGCGGGGAAATTGAAGAGCAACAAAACCATGTAATGGACAAAGCTGTTCTTCACGCCCTTCTACTCCTGAGTGCCAGCGTGGACTGCTTGCAGTGGAAGAAGTTTATTACTTTTCTGAACACTTCAGAAGTGTCTTAATGGAAATGCCTCCATCATTGGCAAGGCGTAAACTCTGGCACTCTTACGTTGACAAGCTGTTAAGGTCCCTAACAGTAATGTCTTATCACCACTTATGTTGAGAGGGACGCTTATGTTGACAAATTGTTTAGGTTCCTAACAGTATTGTTTTATTACCACTTATGTTGATAGGATGCTCTTAAATTACTATTTTTTTGACTTACATGACTATTTTTGTAAATAAGTTCATGGAAATGCATGTAAATCAATGGTTCGGTAATCTTAATGAAATATATGACTTTTCTTGGAGTAAATCAATGAAAATACATGTACATACACAGTACAGAAATTTTTATCACAGAAAACTTATTGTCCACTTGTGACCACCTATGTCGACAAATCGCTCATGTCGACAAAATTCGAATGGTCCCTGACATGTCGACATAAGTAGATAGGACGGTGCAAGGGTTTTACCACAAGTTGGCCAAGGTTATGAATGTACTTCATTTGTGTCTTCATTAGGTTGGCGCTAACAAGCATTTAATAGGATTTACCTGATTTATGTTTGCTTGCTTTACTTGACAGAGGTTTTTAAAACCATAAAAGGGTTTAATAAAGTAGATAATAGACTATTTCAACTTGTCGACCAGGCTATTACAAGGGCGTGGATATAAGATAAGCAGGATCAGAGTTTAGAAGAGCTTCTTTAAGCAGAGGGTGATGAGAATGTGGAACTCGCTGCCAGCAACAGTGATTGAAGCAGGAAGCATCAAAGAATTTAAGAGGAAACTCGACACATACATGAGAGAGAAGGGAATAGAGAGAGGTGGGGGAGAAGGGAATAGTGGGGTATGGAGAGGCCATTATGAGGGACATGGTCACATGCAATGTAAACACCAGCAGAGATTAGTTGGGCTCAAGGGAAAGCTACGGTCCTCTACTTGTGTTATTTTGTGCAATGTGATACTGCACACGTATCTTATTAGGAAGCATATAGTCTCACATAGATTGGGAAAACCCCGTAATAAACACAAAGTTACCCAGATCAGTACATTTACTGAATGCGACAAAATGCACTCTTTGGTTTCACCTCCTGCGGAGTTTGCCTGTCTTTAGGGAGTGCGTGACGCTCTTTTGCTTACTATCCTTCCATCTGATGTGCTTGGGTAAATAGGAGCTTTTGGCTGGCTATTCGCTGCAACTCTTTACATAGCGAATTTCTGAGGAAATTAAATGCATTTGGGAGTGCCATTAGGGAAATACTGACTGTCTGAGAGCGTCCTGAATGCATGTGTCTGATAGAATACCTTGGTAGGACCTTATTCAGAGAATGTCAGTCTTGCTGTTGAATAGATTTTGCTTTCAGTGATGAAAATACATTTTGTCACAGTGTTCTTTTTAAACTCGTCTTAAGAATCCCTTTTATTGTATAAAAATATCCATCTGAATGGATCTGCAATTAAGTTCAGCATTCAAAAGATCAGCTTGTGCGTTATGATGACAATATATTGGTTTGTTTCCCAAGAAAATGTGTTAAACTGTAAAACAAGTATTTCCTTTTTTCTTGAATAGCTAAATCTTGGGTAGAACCTTATAACACAGTAGTTAATGGGAATTTACATGGGTAACATTTGCAGTATTCCCTCGAGCGTTCCTGAGAGAAGAATAAGAATCTCAAGCCCAATGCTGTCCTCCCCTGATGGCTACAGAATAATCCTTGCATTTGATAAGCAGCTTTATCACTTCATCAGAACATCTCATGGCCCTGAATAGAATTCACTGTGAAGGGGCATTGAGCCTGTTTCATGTCCTTCGTCAAACTCACTCCTCCATCAGCTTACAGCATTTCTGCCCCCAACCTCTGGAACTGCATCTGGCCTGAAGTCTCTCTGACTTACTCCCTCCCTTACTTCATGCAAGGTCAGTTTCAGGACCTATCTCTTTGAACGTGCTTTCGGTCATCTTTCCCCTCGCCCACACCCACCCGCTCAGCTGGGGTTCCCAGGCAGCACCGTTAATTGGTTTGGCATATCCTCCTGATGCGAAAGAGGCTGCATAAATGTAAATTCGGGTTGTAATATATTGCAGGGAGCACATATTTGTACGCAAACATAACAGCCAATGTACGCAGGGCAACATGTCTCAAACAGCCGTGAAGCCAATGATCAATTTTATCTGGAGCATGTTGACCAGGTCACTGGAAGGACATTTCCTTTTGTTTTAATAATAACAAATTGGAGTGTTGACCTTGACTTGTGAGCTCAAAGTCCCGGCTTGAACCCACAACCTTCTGACTCGGAGGTGAGAGTGCTACCAAATGAGCCAGGTTCCTGACAGCATCCGACTGAGCTCAACGAATAAGAGCTGGAAATCGAAACCCAGGAGCATTTTTGCCTACTTGGTCCATTTAATAATAATCCCTCCAAAACCAAAGACAATAATAAATTGGTCATTTTCAATCTACGACTGTTTGTCGGACATTGCTGTGCGCAATTGGCTGCCGCGTTCGCCCACAAATATACAGTCAATTCACTTTACAGTGTGTTTTGTGAAGCGCTTTGGGACGTCCTCCCGACGTGAAAAGCGCTATATCAAATGCAAGGATTATTATTATTATTATTATTTTAACAGTGGTTAGGAAATTTGCCACCTCAACCAGAGTGGAAAAGCTGACCTCTGTGACAATTGAGAGTAAAATTGTTCCAATAGTAAGATCAATTGAATATGTAAATATTTGCCCTTCTTTTTTTTAAAAGGACCTGAGGGATGAAAGTTCGCTTCTCAAGCTTCAATTAAAGGAGAAAGACCAATTGATTTCACAGCTTCGAGAAGAGCTGGTGAGTAGAACTTGCGACGCATTTCACAAATGTGGCCTTGCGACAAGGTCATTCGTAAAGAATGAAACAAATAATTTTCCATGCTCGTGTCAGAAACATGGTTGTCTGTCTGTCTGACGCTCGGATTAATGTACTTTGATGACTGTGCAAATTCTCGCTCCGTGACGCTGGTGAAGTCAGAACAAATGGACTAACCTGAACTGTTTGTTTTTGCAAGACTCTCTCAACATTGCTAATCTAACCAGGAAAAGCAATTAATCAGTTATCTTAAAAATATCAATTTGCTTTATATATTCTCATTCCCTTTTTTGAAGGGAAACATCTTTATTGAGATAGTGTTGCTGAAGTATGGGATGTTTGGTTAGTTATCTGGAACAAAGCAAAGATTAGCCAGTGATTAAAGTCTGCTAAAGTATGGCCTGATGTTGAATGACACGATTGTTTTTTTTCTGTGTATAAAGCTGTGGATTCTTGTCAAATTCTGGTCTTGGGATTGAGTTAACACATTGCTGGGGTTGGGTAGGGACATACCCCATGTGACACAGTGGTTTGGGTCAATTCGATGCAGCGTTTATAAGCAAAAACATTATAAGAATGGCTGCCGGTTGCTGCTTCCAGACGATCAGTTTGCCAGTTATATCACTCCCTATGACCTGCACATGTGTATTACGAGCAGGAAGCCTGACAATCAGCTCCAGAGACCAACAGCGTATCACGTTCTATCGATCTGTGCATTTAGCTTGTACTTGTGTTCTCAAGAATTGAACTGAAAGTCCAAATTAAGCAGCCTTACCCCATCTCCACGTTCCATTGCTCTCAACATTGTTTTCAAAATGTTGCATCAAATTCAACCTGAAAACCCCTTGGGTTTCTGTCAATTCCTTCTCACAACTTGGAGCCGTTCGACCCGAAATCAATGTTATTTTGTCGCTTAGCCTCTTCCATCGTCGCTGCTTTTAAAAATAAAGTACAAAATCTGCAGAGTAATCCCAATCATGCGTTCGCCAATTATCTGAACAAAATTTTGAATGACTTGTTTCGAATTCGAGCCATTGGCCCTTTGAGACACATTTCTTGTTCACAGCTCGCCTTGCTGTGATCATCGTTGCGTTGACTGAGCACTTTCGATGAAGGATCGATAATCGTATCCAAGCCTTTTGGTTCTTTCACCGTTGCTGACAGGCAGCTCATCTTGATGTATGCACGTTTCCTGTTCTAATGTGCAAAGTACTACATCCATCTACATTAAATTCCATCTGTTTTTCCTTAACTTATCCAATTAATTGGTCCAGATCCCTTTGAGTCCTATTGATCTCTATTATGCTCATTCACTGGTAACATAGCTTGATATCATTGGCAAATCCTGTATTACAAGTACAGGCAATGATTTATGAATCACCAGCGACCCAGAAGAGATCCCTCCCTGAGGTTCCACGCTCTAGTCATCCAACCAGAATTTTGTCTCGTTTATCATCACATTCCCATTATTCGTGCCGTTTTCCATATAATTTGCTATTTTGCCGTCAATTACATGGACCTTAATCTTTCTAGACTTGTTTTCACAGACTTTATCATTCGGAATTCATGGTGGAGGTGGAGAGGTAGCTCCTACCTTTTAGTTGCGATAAATATCACCTGGATCACAAATCTCATGCCGGTGTCAATATTTGCCCTGTGGTAAACACACAGATTTTTATGAAACGGTTTAAAACTCATTCATTTCCCTTTCTGTTCCTTGAGCACGCTCAGATGCGTTACACGTGCTCAAAACACCTGGGTACATTTTGGACTGAACATTGGTCTTACAGTCACCTATTGTACGGATATTGGGGTCAAAACACAAGTAGAAGTAGAAATTCCACCTGGATCTAGGTGGACTCATATTTTTGACTCTTATTTTCTGTAGCGTTTCAGTGCATCCGACAATACCGTCGAATCCTTAATAAGAACTTACGGAAAACTAACTATGAAATGTAAACTATTGAAGGATTTCCTGAATACCAATCTCTCTGAAATATGAAGAAAACAGATTTAATCTAATCCATGGTGGAATTACTATCCCGGTCTGTATTTATCACTGAAAGTTGCAGATCGCAACTCTTTCTGGTCACTAGCTGTGTCATTGCCTCCCTAGAGGAACTCTGACCCAGTCTATTTGTTGGGTCATCTGGTTACATGTAGAAATCGTCATTTACGACTTTGTTTAGAGTTCAGCATTTCTATTCCAACCCCCCACCCACCCACCCACCTACCTGATGTAAATTGGTTAAACAGGGTACGATGTCAGGACATTAAAAAGCAAACAATTTGCTCACTTTTGCTCTACTTTCAGTGTTCCTACCATTCAGAAACTGGCATTGACATAATTAACTGAAGTCGGAGAAACACGCAATTTGATTTAAGGCCTTGTTGAAGGCCACTAACGGAGAAAGTCTCGCTGAATTGCTTGCCGAAAAGTGATTTAAACTTGGGTTCCGCCCGCCATCCGTAAGCTTAGTGAACGGGAAAAAGAGGCAAATAATGGGAGAAATATAAATTGACACCATCAATAGAAAAAGACCTGAATGGTAGAGAAGAGAGCAATGCCCGGCAGTACACATGCAGGGAAATTGGTGACTATATGACAGGAAAGGAGGACTCAACCAAGAACATTTATCAACGAAGGGCATCATTGAAGCACTGCATGTCAGCTTTTCCACCACATGTGCCTCGGCAGTGACCTGCCTCAGGACCACTTTCCTGCCTTCGAGTTGCAAACAGGGCTTTGCTTTCTCCTCGTAAACCGTGAATTTCCTTTTCCGCACATTCCTTCACCTTTCTCTATTTGCTCGCTGCTTTGGAATTAGAATGCATCACACCTCCTTCCGGTCGAACTCAATCTTCCCCAGGTCCTCAAGTTTGTGTGTGGAACTCCATAACCTCTGTCAGGCTTCTCTTGCTCCTAATGGGCATCGACACTGCCTTCGTTTATACTGGAACCAAATCTCAACGGAAGATCCTGGCCATTAAATCCATTTTTTTTTTAACCACTTCACCTCATTAACTTGACTTAATGTGTTACCTCATTCGATTTTAATATGTTGCATTAAATTAATACATTTTTGAAGATTCGCGGAGCTTGATTTGGCGTTTGCTTGTCGTACGGGCCAGAAATAGGTCAGCCCACTTATGAGATTGAAATCGTTTTCTTTAGGCCTCGGTAATGGATTCTCTCTACATGCAGCTTCCTGGGGGTTGCCTGTGTACCAATGTCAATTTGAGATTAGTATTTAAATTGTTCAGTTTAATGCTGTGCACCTACTGCTTGCAGCTGCACCATCAATTAACTCTCACAAGTTCCAGAAACATTCATAGGCATGTACAGGAACGGAAAAGATTACTGCAGTTGATTCATTTCGTTTGGTCACAAAGCTGCGATATTTTTTCTTGCCAATGTTCTCCACTCCACTCTTCCGTTCTTCGGCTCCTGAAGGCATTCGGATCCTTTTTTGCTTCTACTGGGGATACAGTTTCACTGGTGCCCTCTCCAGTGCCTCATCCAAGTGGTAGTTATGCACACACACACAGACGCACGTTGCCGGTCAGTGTGGTGAGGCAGTTTGCACGCAGCTGAGACGGATCCAGCGCTCATATAATATCCACCCCTGGCCTTCCTGGTATCTGTCCTAAAATTGCCCTGTCCAATTGTAAACCTATGTCCTCTTGCTTCGACTGTCATGGTGCGTGCTAAAGTGTCGATCTGGATTTACTTTTTTAAATCTCGCTTTAATGAATTACCCGCATTAAATGAGATTGAAAATGTAATGCATGTTGCTGTCCACTCACTGCCTGGAGTTCCTGGGCAGCCTTATGTTGGGGTGAACAGAACAAGATGCACGTTTCAAGGTGCGTTCTGACCAGGTCACTGTAACAGCCTGAGTATGATGTCTGGGGACCTAAACTCGACTGCTCTAGCAATGTAACCCAGCATCCTGTTTGCCTTGGTTATTGCTGACTCGCACTGTTGTGAGATAGTGAGCAGTAAGTCAAACTAACACCCCCTGAATCTCTTTCAGTTCAATGCCATCCATGAGTACACATTTCCTACTCTTGCTTCCAACACGCAGAGGTATTCACCTGCTGGCGGGTTAGAGGGTAGGGCTAGGATAGTGGAGTGGACCTTTCTGTTGACCCCCGAGACACAAGGTTTGACCAGGATAGACAGGCTTCGTCTGTTTAGCCGGCTTTTCAAATTCGGAACCGAAGTTACTTGTGTTTTACATTTTAAAGCGCATTTACTTAATAACGCAGAAAGACGTACAAGTTTGAATTGGTTCAGTAAACGTGGATACAGTCGGCAGGGTTGCGCCAAACAGAATTGGCTGATCTGCTCGCGTTGTAGCAACGTCACTGCAATTGACGACGTTAAAAGTTCTTAAGCAGCAGGCGAATGTCTCTTGCTTCTCATTTCTCTGTTGATAGTAGCGGGCGTGGAATCAAAGAACCAAAGTTGAACCTCTTAGTGGTTGTGCGGCAGCCACATTCTGCAGTCTGTTCTTCTCCTCTGCTTTTTGTTTTCCCCCCCCTCCGTTGTTGCTGGAATTACCGGAACTTTGAACCGTCGAGGTCAAGGAGCTTGAGTTGCAGAGCGAGGGAAGATACAGATGCACTCGCTCTCACCAGCTCGGAGCAAACCCCAAGGGATGGCCAACTCTGACTGAACAAAGTATGGCTTTGCTATATCTCTTTTATCATTATCCTTTTTTTTAACACTGCGATGGTCGGTGTGGATCTGCGCATTCTCACCCATCCATCTGATTGCCGTTTACGGGCTGGGCCCATCCTTCGGTACAGGACCCACGAGCTGATTCTGATTAAAACAACGCAGAACCTTTACATCAACAGAGAGCTGCAGCTGTGATAAACACACTCCTTACCTTCTGAACTAATTCAACTCTTCAAGGCACAACACACTGACAACTGGGAAGACTTATGCCAACTACCCTGTAAACTATGTCATG